TCAGCACTCTATGTTATTATTGCTTTTCGAGAAAATTTGGCTCGTGGATAAATCAATTGTTTTGTTTAGAACAAAGACATTTTTTTTCTTTTGTTTTTTTGTATCTCACTTTTTTTTAGTTTCTAGACAAGATTTATACTAAATGACATTGACATTAAATGATATTATTCAAAAACCAGAGCTGATTACTAGTTCAGAGTTTTAGAAAGTATACAAGAAGGATGTCGAAAAAAAAACAAAAAAAAAAGATAATTTGTTTTTCTTTTTAGAATAAAATTAAGATAAAATTTTTGTAAAACAACAGACAATTGAATATTTTACACATTGAAATTTAGAATAAAGTTTTTTTAGTTTGAATGTATCAGAGATGGACAAAATCGCACCGCGCCACTGCTCGCACCTAGGCGCTACGCACATCTCTCTTTCTCTTTGCTCTACCAATCAGTTTCTCAAACTCCACCGAATACCGGGATACTCTAAGCATGCGCTGATCGAAGCTCAGACTAGTGTAGCGTAGGCATGAGCAACGGCTCGGGGAGGCGCGGTGCAACTTTGTCCATCTCTGGAATGTATAATACCATTTGAAATTACTTATATATATATTTTTTTGTTTATTAAGCAGTAACATAAAATGAACAATAAGCATGTCTCTAAATACAATATCATTCATACATTTGTATGCTGTTGTCTTTGTTCGAAGGACGCCATGTCCGTATGAATCCTTTATCTCAAATCAACCAACATATTGTCTTTCGTCGATTGTTATCTACTGATGAAAAAATTTTGACGACATTTCTCGAAAGTCTTAGTCAACGTACACGTCATTATTGTGTTTATCCAAGTTATGATAAAAAAACAGCAGAATTATTTTGTAATGAAGAAATAAATAGAAATAATTATAAATTACGATTAATTGCTTTGATTAATCAAAATACAATAGTAGCTTTATTTAATATAACATTATCTATTCGTAATGATGAATATGAACGTTTTCGTATTAATCATAAGATTGAATTGAATAATAATAATACGGTACGATTAAGTCCATGTATTACTGATAATTATCAAAATAAATATCTTGGTAGTTATTCAATGGAAAAAGTAATCGATATTATACGACAAATGGATAAACGTTATGTGATTCTATCTGGTGGTGTACTTGTAGAAAATACTCGAGCTATTCATTTTTTTGAAAGAAATAAATTTAGATTATTTTCAACAACTTTTTTAAGTCATGATGGTTATGAATGTAAAGATGGTCTTATTGAAATTGACTCACAATAAAAATTTGCATTCTTTGATGTTTATTATGATAAATAAAAAGAATTTATTTTTCTCGACAAAAAAAAAGTAGATAACCGGAATATTTGATTAAAATCTAGTAGAAATTACTCATTATTGAATTAATACTTACGTATATATTTGTTATTTTAATTTGTATCAATACTTGTGGCGTATTGTGAATTTAGAAGACTAAATTGAACGACGTATATTTTATTACTTACTGGTAATGGCTTAGTTGAAATAAAAACAAAATGTATTGTAGTACTTGTAGTATATATTGAATTAAGCAGTAGTACATATTTATCATAAATAATATTGAAGATAATAGAAGCTGGTGTATATAGGAAATGTATTCTTTTATAAAATAGTCACAAAGAAATAATGTAGCATTCATCAAAAAATTAGTTTTAGTGATTGTTTCTATCGAAATAACTTGTCCTTTTTGCAGTTATTTTAGCTGAATAAAAATGATATTCATCATGTATTTTAAAAATAATATGTTCCAACTTTGAGACTTTCCAGTAATAAATAATTGTTTGATGAAGTACTTATCAGTTGGTGTCATACACTTGCTGCTTTATTTCATCTTTGTAGTGTTCTTTTTAAGAGATCTAGCATATTGATCAGGAATGATTTTTAAGCAATTATAAGTGATTCGAACAAAGAATCGTTTGTTCGATTAATCATCTATTCTCAACTTCAGCTCAATGATTACACTAAGACGATAAATGAATATTTCTGAATTATTCAACTGTAAGAAAAGTATCAGGCTTTCGAAACTATTTTTAGACATATTCTACACTGATATCAACCGTTGGGTTGTCTCTTTTTTTTCTTGTACCATTCTAATAATTCGTCTAGTTTTTTCATCAAGTTCATCTTATAAAAAAATGTCTCATACTGAAAATGATCATTTGCATATACATTTTTTTCACGTGGTAACATCTTTTAACTAATACTCTTCGAATGGGTCTTTTTTAGGAAAGTATTGTTTATATCTACTTTTACATTGAACATCAAAGTTAGAAAAATTTGATTTATCTCTTCTAGTTGTACTCAAAACATATTTGTTGACATAATAATAATTACAAAAAAAAATAACATCATTTATATGACGAGATACAATAAAATGCGTGGATGTGATCGAAGAGAAAACCAATATCCAAAGTCTTTCCATTAGTTATAAAGGTCGTATTTTTTGCAGTAGTTTTTATTTGCTTCATCGCGCTGTTCTTGCGCAATAACACAAATTCGGAATTCGTGATTACAATTGCAGTTTACAAAATACTCCATATCTTCTTCAAAAGGTGATAATTCAGTCTGACAAAAAGGACAATTAATAGTATCTTCTAAGTTGTCGATATTCACCCACCCATATTCCTGAATATCCAATTCATGAAAGTTTTTGTAAACTTCTAACCAATTACAACCGTTATCATGATTAAAGTAAACATCGAATTCTTCTTTGACAAACTTCTTCCATAAAGATGGTTGTGATGCTGCTAAATTCCAAAGTTTATTAACAAATAAGCAGCTGCCAAGATCCCTAACATCTTCTAGATAGGATAGAATTTCCACTATAACATCCAACGGCAGTGTATAACATAAATTATCTTGATCAAATGTTGTCGAAGAATTTTTCTTTAATTTTTTGCGTTGAGGTTGTTCCATTGATCTTAAATTAAATGTTTATGTTGCAAATTATAGGAAGAAAATGATCTGAATATTGTTAGATATTGAAAGCAATAATTGATAAATGAATCTTTGATTCGCTTGAGTCCAGAACATGTTGAAAAGTTTGTTTACTATGTATATAGAAAATGAAGTTGGAAAATTCCAACTGACAATTTGTTCTTGTGCAAAATGATGGATGACTTCAACAGGTTTCGTCATTCACATACACGTTTTTCTTTTCTTCTTTCTTTCGTTCCTACATGTTGGTTTTGTTACCCTTCAGTTGTCGAATTCACCCCACTGTTTATTTTACAGTGGAGAATCATAGAAATTTCTTCTTTTCGATTTTTTCGTTCACTTGTCTACCATTCCTCTATTTTTTTTTGTAATACGCATCATATACGGCGAGATTAGATAAATGAATCTTGAACAATATATAAATCTTAGAGCATAAACAAAGTTGCAATTATTTTCTACTACATACAATGCAAATAAAACTAGTTGAGAGTGTATAAATGACGAGAAAACCTTTTTTCTCATTCACTCTTGCAAACGAAAATATTTAGCGAAGAAATTTTTCAGGGATATCAAAATCACCGTGACTCGGATGAAAGCAGTGTAATATGTACTAATGACATTTCGGTGATCAATATCTTTATCTTTTTAGACTCTAAATCTTGATACCCAAATGATATTCTATTGAAAGAGAAAAAGATAAACGAAAGTTGTCTTCAAGATCAATTGTACATTAAAATGAAAAGTTTCCACATGTATCACGAGAAGATCATTGTGTTATATTACTTTCAGTTTTTTCTCTGAACTCTACGATGATGCGATTTCGGAACTGTAGATGAGAGTTTTTTTTCATTTTCAACTCTCTTCTTACATCCACCGCGACATCCATACTCTTAGTCATCAGAAATCCATAGGTTGACGTTAGATCTAATAATAACCATTTATGTTATCCGTGATAAATAATGACCTTTTGATTTCACCATCTGAGTATAACACAAATGCCCTGAGAGACCTTTGCAGAAATTATTAGCCTTTTCTAGCTGATCGATAAAACGCCAAGTAAATCACATTACTAACACACTAATAAAAACATGGTCATTCAAGATTGAGTTGAATAGCCTAACCATATTGTAAACCTTTTCGTATGATGAAAATGAATAGTTTTGTACAGCTCAGCAAGAACTATAAAATGCACTACATGATATTTAGTTTAGAATGAAAAACCAGTGCAATATGAAGTGAAACACCCCTTTTCTTCTGAAAGACTTTCATAGGTGGGAAAGTTACAAAAATTGAGTTTACTTTTCTATATAAGTTATCGTGCTATGATGCTGAAAATCAGATCACGATTACAATTCTCGCTTTCTTTTCTATTGAAAGAATCAAAATGTCATAATGCTACTGTTCACAAGAAAATATTTCGTAGAGAATGCTAGTATGGATGTAATGTCTATGTGAAGCAAGAGAAGATAGCATCCGTGCCTACCCGTCTACACAAACTCAAACGTGCACTAACATTCTCAGTTCTATAACAAATTACTTGGTACACAATTAGATATTTTTTGTTAGTGTCTGTTTAAAACTGAAAGAAATAGAAAGTTTCTCATTTTTGTTGTGTCGAGAATTGCTGTGGACATTGGTTTTTTAACTGTTCAATATTTTCAAGGATAACTCGTCGATGATCTTTCTTGTCGATTCCATAGTTCATAAGCCTTTCATCGTCAACTTGATTCAGAAGCCAATAGCCATCGATGCCGTGTTTCTTGAAACAATTCACATAAATCGTATATTCATCACCCAATGATCGAAGCCAATTACACACATCATCGCAAGAATTGAGCTGCTTCAGGAAATAAAGTCCTATTTAAAAAAAAAGGTGTAATAGATTGCTGAATTGTAAAAAAAGAGAAATCGGATCCAGAAAGTTAGCAGACACAACACACATATGCTTTCGAAATTTGTCCATGTACTGAGTTACACTCCTATTTCTGCCCGTCATACTTTTCTTGATCCTATATAGTTAGAACTTAAAAACTCTTACGTTGAGGCTGAAGTTTGAAATCTCCGTGTTCTAATGCCTTTCGACGAGTAGCTTCAAATGGAGCATTTGAACCTGATTTCCAAGTTTCTGATGTGTCGGCAAATGTGTGACTTCGTTGTCGAGAACCTGCTGTGGTGTCAGTAGATTGTTTCCACGTTGCGACTGATTCCGATCGTGCATATAATTCGTTTGCCGGTGTCTGCGGTTGATGGTTTCGGTTGTTTGCTGACACGGGTAACGCATTTGAATTTGTGTCGTTTTTCGAAGATGACTTATTAATAGTCACGGAAGCTATTTCTGAAGTTTTCAATCCTTGTGGCGACCAATTCGTTCCTTCATAAGCGATCCACTTGCTCAAACATTGAATAAAATTTTTAGCATATACTTCTTCTGTCCATTCTTTTGGTAGATTTTTATAACCATAATAGGCACCGGCTAATTGGCCATAGATGGCTGCTGTTGTATCAGTATCATCACCAAGATTCACAGCCGCAAGAACACCATCTCGAAAAGAGCCATTATCAGACCAAAAAGCCCATAGAGCAGCTTCTAGAGCATTGACGATGTATCCTTTACCTCGAATACCTTTATCATATCCACCTTTCTGGTAAGAACCTTGAGCGATTTTTTCAATGTCCAGATGAAGCGGTTTACCACCGAACCATTTTACATGTTTTTGATAGAAGTTTTTGTCAAGTAGCTCCTCTCTTTCTGCACCATTGACAGCGGCCACAATTAGAGCACCATAGTAACGACAGGCATCACGAGCTTTTTCATCACCATGAGTAATCAATCCACTAAGTCCTGAATATTCGACAGCAAAAGTAGGATGTTTATAAAGGAACAGTGGTACAGGTGCAAGTCGCATCAAAGCTCCATTACCAGCCACACCTTCTTCACTGCAATTCACCTTGAACTTCGTCAAGAGTTTAGGATCTGAAAGAAAATCTAATTGATTAAGAGGAATTCCATATTCTTCAGCAAATTCTGTTTGACGGCGTTCAAATTCCCTCAGCGATTGTTTCGTGGCCGCACCAATATCGAAACATCTTCCTGTAGAAGACATGTATCCGTCTCTGTACCACCATTTGTAACGAACTAGTTGATCGTAAGGGACATAATCGTGTCGAGCTATCAATGAATTTGCAAGACAAAGAGCCATCGACGTATCGTCGGTGAACTAAAACAATCATATCTTACAACTCGATTGTTATATTACTGATCTCGACGAAACAATTTTCAGATATGACAAGCTCAAGTGAATGCTTTCCTCCTCATATATTAGAGAACAGTTAGCAATTTTTCGACAATTTAATACTTTGAGATGAAAGTATCTCTTATCGATGAAACTTTTGGAATATTTTATGAATAATAAAATCTGTTATAGGTAAAATTGTCGATTATACTCCTTCGGCCATTTTTTTTCTCAGGAAACTTCACTCAAAGATCAAAGTCCATAGAAAGACAATACCTCGAAGTTAATACCTCTATACCTTTTTTGCTATTCTAGATCTGTTTCTATGCCTCATAGACGATCATTTTCTTGTCCGTCTACAATTTGGAATTTTACTTCTTCTTAAAATGTTATATCCAATATTTTAGCCACAGTGTAACCACAATAGCTTTTTTTCACTATGCTGCGGATATCAAACAATGAATTCATATATTCAATGTATGCTAAGTATGCAGTACAATTGACATCAAACATAAACTTTCTAGGCATACAATAACATACAGACAGAACATACTAGATTCTTTCTCAGTATAACAATAGCTGCACCAAATAGATAACGAATAATGCAAGAATGACCTTATCTATCTTTCATCAATAGCGTTTCTCAAATTAGAATAACTGTTTCCTGTTAAAGCTTTTGGTGAGTAACTAATATTTTTAGTCTTGGTTTGAGCTCTTTCGAATGTTACTTGATGGGAAGACAAAAATTTATTTTAGTAGAAGATTACCTGTCCTTTTTTAAGACCCCAAGTGCCGCCTCCTTTGAGTTCAGTGACTGGATGCTGGACGAGGTACTGTCGAGGTCGAAACTCAACATGAGCACCAATCGCATCACCCAATGCCATTCCGATCATCGAACCATGAATGCGATCCGTTATAGCAGTATCGACGTCATTTGGAGGATCTTCCATCTCTTTTTCAAGTTCATCAGGTCTCTTGATCGTTTCACCCTGATTGAGCTGATGATCGAGCCATGGTTTGTCTAAAGACATACATATGTATACAATAGACTGTCTACTGTAAGTATCCAATAAAAAAGTTTTTTTCACCATGAACATGAAAGATTTCAGTTTTTTCCGTTGAAAAGATCTTGATCTCTTACCTGTTTTAAATTGACATGCAGGATGTCTTTCTGATTGTTCAGACGTTCCTAAAAGATAACTAGGTGAAGCTATAATCATAACAATGAAAACAATTAAATTCAAATCTTCGATTGGCTAAGTCACAACGAAAAGGAAGTAGGAAAATATGACACTTATTTCTATTGTCGATAGGTACCAGTGAGTTTGATTATCCCATAACATCACGTTTTCTATATCTCTCATTTTCATTGCCATTGGTGACCAATAATAGTATGGGGATCAATAGCAAATTGATTTTTTTCTCTGCTTTTTAACTGCTAGGTGTCGTACTTTAACTTTGTTCGCTGTTGACGTTTTGTTTTACATACGTATATGAAGGAAAAATATACTATTATTCGGTAAGAAATTTAAATTCTGACTCATATGCAATGCTAATGAAAAAATACTGATACCTGCAGGTTGCATATTTTGTTCGGTCTGCATTATAAAAAACTTGTTGACTGCATTGAATAAAATAACGTTTTACCCTGTATATTTTTAACGAGAGCAATTGAAAGACTTTATCTTTTTTTTCTTCTCGTTCTGGCGCACTTAAACGAGCAAACATTAAAAAGCATGTGTCCTCAAGGTAAAAAAGACTGATATAAAAAGAAATACGAACATCTTGCAGCGATGTTGTTTGACAGAGAACGATAAAATACTCCACTTGCCTTCCTTGCGCAAATAAAAAGTGAAAGAATGTAGAGAAAAAAAGAGACCATATTATTTCTTACTAACTGTTGTATCAAGAAATTTCAAACGGCAAGAAAATATCAATAAGATTATTATTGCAAATATAAAAGTAACACATACATTCTAATAATGTTTTCAAATTTTTTTATGCTTTAATACAAGTTTCGAATATGTTATGGCAACAATTTTAAGCTGTTGGGATATATTTTTATCGCTACTTGAAAGGTTATCAACAGATGATATACAGACTTTTCACTTGATACTGACTGTGATCTTATTTGATGAACGCGACTACAACGACACATTGCTTACCCTTAATGAGTGAAAAATATTGAAGAGTGAAGAAACTAGTTGGAAGATAGAGATGGCAGACTCTTGGATGATTTTGTCTGTTTTCGAGACCCAGTCAGGATGTGGGTGTGAGAGTCATCGAGGCTCATCTCTTTACTCACATGTATATCATCGCCCACATCCATACTCTAAGAAATTATTAAATAGCCACGTAGTACCAACACTTTGATTAAATTGAAATGAGAATGCACTATACTTTATTTTGTATTATTTAAACCTGAGACATGTTGAAAAACTAAAAAAAAAACTATTATTGATATTTGATGTATTTGTCTTTATATTTTTGCGTTGAAATTGTAGCAGTTCACGAGGCTTTTTTTTCGTTAAGAATCTTGTTGATTAGTCCGAAGAATTGCAGATTTCTTGGATCAGTCAACAATGTACCGAAATCAAGGTTGTTACGTGCTTGAGCGAAAGCTAAGTGCAACGAAGGTGAAGCATAGGCAAGACTACCCCCGAGACCTAATAACGAAAAGAAATAGGTATATGAGATCGTATGGTACTGGCATAGCCATCAATTTATTACTCTTAGTGACTGCTAACACTTGAGCTAGCATTAATATTTTAATTTTCTGCATAATAACTCATAACTATACGGTTTTTAGTCTAATGAAAAGAAATAGGTTGAGTATTTTTTTTGAAAACTTTCTAAATTGAATGAGAAATACTAGTAAAATAATATGTCTTTTGAGATCTCACCATAATGACCGAATCCGTCTTCGCCTAGTACTTGGAAACAGTCACTATATAGTGGAAATTCTCCTCTTGAAAATTTTGTTTTCAAGCCAAAAAAGAATCGATCGATCTCATCGAGTGGTGTCATATTTTCAGCAGCTAATGCCAAAGTTTTCTTGCTCAGAAGACAACTTTTTTTTGTCCATTTTCATTCACGTCGCCAATGAGCAATGCGTGAATTCGTGCCAACATATGAACATTCGACATACCATTAACAGCTAGCAAAACAGCTCGATGTATTAAACGTTGATTGAATATTAAATCACCTGTATCACGTGATATTAAAGGAATAGCACCATTTCATGTCATGGCCTTTTCGGTGGAAGAATCCATTTGTGGTGCACTAGGACGATCTGATTCACTCTTAAAGATAAAAGAGAAATAAAAAATATGATCAATGATCTCTTATTTTTCAATTTTTCATAGAAGCCAACTGTCAAAACATAGAAAAGACTACGATAAAGATATTTAGATAATTTTCATCATCGACATAGCATTGATAGAACAGCAGATATTTTAATTTTCGATGAACTCCAGAAAAAAATCGTTCTACTTTAATCTACTCTAGGAAACAAAACAAAATAATTTCAACAAAAAACTATGAAGTTCATACTCATGTGAGTCATCACATAGTAAACAATAAAGAAAGACGTTTTTACTGATATATGACACCATCAGAGAGAAAATAATTTTGATATTATCTGATTATATATGAATTCATTCATTCACTAAAATTTCTAAACAAGTAAGAATCTAAGATGTAGCATGTTCTAGGAGTTCGTTAAGAAATTGAAAAGATTTGTCTGCTATCCAAAAATTGACCGTAGATATTAATCTTTGGGTTTTTATCGAAAAGAATAAAAAGAAATGCATGGCATCATTGGTAGAGCTTTGTGCACAGTTACAAATAGTATATATGCGCTATAAATCAAGTTGTCACTACAGATCCTAACTATTTAAGACGGTTTTGTCTCTCTCACATCACATCCACAACTGCTTTCAGCTTTTGAAGAAATGATCAAGCTCGTGCACTTATCCCAATGCAATACTATATTATCTTTTAAATTATGACACATTAAACTAATCAGAGTTTTCAAGATAAAAAAAGGATATATTGTCTGCATTACGAAAAAATTAGATGGCATCGAATATTCATTTAATACCATACTTTTTGATTAAATATGGTCAATGGTCACATTTTGTAAAGAAATGAAAATTGAAAAGATTGCAATGGAAGTTTTTCAAGCTTTGACTCATAAATAAACATACTTGAGAAACAATTCGAATAAATCGAAATCATTCTGAAAAATAATAGAATTTATACCACGGCTTTTGAATAAATACTTGAAAACTCACAGCTATTATTTTTTACCCAATAGGATCACAGTTCATCAAAATCGGTCAAAAACCAAAGTACCACACTACATACAATTTCAAGTTGATGTATTTTTGTGATTAACAAGAAAAAATCATCAAATGATGTGCGAGGTTTTGATCTAAACATGTAGGAGGATCGAACAAGTATTTAAGCATTTTCACTTAGATACCGATTTTGACTTTTTATTCAGCGATAAGGCTGACACATAATTTGACGAATACGATTGTATTTGCGTACAGGAAAATATTTTTTCAGCTTGTATACAAGTAGAAGACAGCCACTCAAACATTTAACAATAGAGTCCTTGGAACAAATATAATATATAGAAGAATACGAAAAAATAGAGAAAAGAATATTCATCGACTTTTCTTGTTAGAGACTTCAGCAGTGAGAAAAAAGAAAGAAAGTTTAGATCGAGTGTCAGCTAGAAGTGGATATTAAATTTCGATGAAATTATGCCAAATAAATTCGTTTTTTCTATATTTAAAATCTGAAGCGAGAACAATTTTTCGATCGTAGTCAAAGAGTTAGGTTTCTCGACCTTCTGAATCAAATACAATATGGTTCACGATTTTACAATCGTATATAGAATAACTATTTAGATAGTGTTTCTTACTTCTTCTATAAAGAGAGGAGCTATGAGCGCTTCGACTTTGTCATCATGTACTCCGATATAGAATTCGGGATCCAATCCATCATGAACGAATTGACTATAAGAACGTCACTGTGAGTCAACTCGTTGAATAAGCTGGGCAGCCAAAAATCCCATGTTGTAGGCGTGATAGCCATGTGCTGATCCAGGTTCCCAGTAAGATTTTTAAGCAGCTAGAAGAGAAGTAATCCGATTCCAGTCCAAGACATCATCTAGTGTAAGTTCTTGATCAACATATGGTAAACCAGCTCGATGTGCTAACAGATCGCTCACCAATATGTTCTTTGAAAAAAATACATGTGAATAGTAAAGTGGGTTATTTTTGTGTATGTTTAAAGAATAAAAATCTACCTACCCGCTTTCCACTGGTGCCGAATTCAGGCCAATACTTGGTTACCGGCGCTTGATAATCCAGCCAACCTTTTTCTATGCACAGCACCACGGCTGCAGCTGCAACTGCTTTTGATACTGATAAAATGCACTGAAGAGTATCTGTTGTGTATGGTTCTTTCTTTGTCTTTGCATCTTTCCAACCACCAGTCCGATTTATTACACATTCATCTTGATGGTAAACAGACAGACTTGCCCCGATATCAACTCCTTGTACTAAGTTTTCTTCAAAAGCTGTACGCAAACTTTCCCACACAGGTGTAACATGGCCAAATATCTTAGTGTCATTTGATGATGAGGACATAATAGAGTATGTGAAGTGATTATCTTTAATAAAAATAGAAAGTAAATATTCATCAGATCAATTGATTTGTTGTGTAACGATTGCACAGTTGACTAAGAGTATTTATAAATATATATATTCAATCCTCAAAATACGGTCTTTACGATGAGATATCGTAGAATTTTATCTAAAACACTTCATTCAATGGACAAAAAAAAGTGAGGTTTTTGAGAAAAACTCGTTCGTTTTACGTATGTTCTGAAAAAGAAAACAAGAATCTTGCTAGTACCTATGAAAATCGGATAAGACGTATGTCACTTTACGAATTCATGAGAAATAAAAATCTCTTAGAGTACGGCACAACTTGGAGGAAAAATTCCTTTATTTTCCTTATATTTCTGTCTCTTATAACGAACCATTGAAATAGTATGTTCTTAATCACAATAAATTACTAAATGAACATGCTTGAGTATTTGTCCACCTCTGAAAATGATTGTGACACAAATCTTTCAATGATACAGAATATTTTTTTGAAATTCTGAAGCTCAATAGAACGCCTTTCATTATGAACTCTTGCAGTGGAACTGGTTTCACTTGGTCTTCGTTTGTGTTTGCCAGACATTTGCTTTCTTCCTTAGAACAAAACTAAAGAAAAAGACATTTCTCTCGAAAAAATCACCTTTTGCTTGTCGTACACTAAGTAGTTGTTATTCAACAGAAAACTGACTGATGCATTGTTATGAAGAAGATAAAATCTTGTATCAGTTCTTAATACAAGATAAAAGTGGTCGTTGCCTGTTATTATTGAAATAAGGTTACTCGTGCATTATTAGTGAGAAGAAAATATTGTTACTGTATCTTTATTAACGAGAAAAAAAATGTTTTGCACGGTATCATAAGCGAAAAAAAAAGGCTTTGGTGTTGTTATTGAGGAAATAAAATAGCTTATTCGCCATTAGTAAGGCAAGAAAATCGCACATGCGTTTTATGAAGAAGAAAACAAGCTTATCGGTTAATATTTGGAAGATAAAATACTTTATGCGTTTGTTATAAAAGAACGAAAATCGTTCATGCATATTTGTTATAAGAGAGAAAAATTGTCAGAACGTTATTCCCTTGACTGAAGAGACAGTCATAAGCAATAAAATGAGTTTGTGTGTATGTATGATTATATGTTTGCTGGCAAATGTATGATGATCATGCGTTTCCATATTTTCCCGCATATTTACAGTGACTATTTTCTAACATACTTTGTGCTATATCTTCAACCAATCAACTGTTCTTCTTATCCAACTCTTGTTCAATGAGATGATTTCAGCTTCTAGCTATCATTCAATTCAGTTTTTTCGATTTTATAGGATTATTCATTTTAAACTGAATTTGGAAAAAAACATGCTTACGTTTGGCAAATAGTAGGGATTTAATGAATTTAGCAGAAGAAACCCGCTCATCGATACAAGACTCAGTGAAGAGGATGTTACTAGGCATAACACATATCCCACAACCTACTCATGCAAATCTAAAGACAATATTATTTATTTCCTGAAATGTTTCCAGTCAATCCTTACTAAAAAATAAGTCACAGGTAACATTAAACTTACGCCGAGACTGTTTTTTATGAAGCGCAAAACTACAAAATACTTTTCTTTTTCATTAAGAAAACATAGTACGTACCTGCTTTCTTCACTAGACACATGATCCATGTTCACTGATTCATATCGTAATGTGTACACAAATGATTTGTTCTGCATTGATATTACAAAATGATTTTCGAAAGTATTTTTATGAACGAGAGAAGCAATGTTTTAAATTTTTAGAGCATTAAATTCCAAGGGCAAGAGTGCTATTATTTGACTACAGGGAATGCATACACTAAACCATCCTAAATTTTTGTTTGGGTTGAAAAATCTTCCAGCAAAACCACTCAAAACGTTTAAATTTTAAGATTCTCTCTCTTTTATTTGGTTGAAGCTTGTTACGACAAATTAAACTTCAAATAAAGCTGAACATAGTTTGATATAGATATATAAGATTAATTTTTTCTTCTCATCTTTTCTTATCTTTTTAACTTTCAAAAATTCTCTTTAATTTTGCCCAACACATATTTCAAATGATTTATCGAAAAGAGGGTGTGGTCATATAAAGATAATAAATGTTGAAATTGATATGTTGAAAAACGATTACATTTAATCAGTAACATACTTCAATCTAGAATAGTAAAAATGATATGAAGATTGAACTGTTTTCTAAAAATGTTAAAAGTAAATATAAAAATTGTTCTTCTGAGGTTGATCGTTAAAAATTAAGCTTTTTCTGTCAATAAGTCAGTTTTACATCTTTCTTTCCAGATACATGCAATTCAGACATATTCTTATATTAAGTGGCAGATCAAATACAGTAGCTAGTATAAGAGTGAAAGCGAAAACAGCAACATGACTAAACTTCAGTGGTGTCCGTGTTCTGTGTGACTTATCTTAAAACAGCAATATCAAAATTGATTAGTTGAACTTTTATTTATTCGATAGATCTAAACACAATCTATATGTTAGTGTTCAAACTGAGATTAGAATAGACCAATCTCGAAGCCGATCGTCGACGCATTCAATAGAGGATTGAGGTAGAAATTTATGTTAAAACGCGCAGTACTCTATATGTAGATGTTGGCGTCAGATTCTAATTATTGAACTGAGTGATATTTATGGCATTTCAATTATGCAATTATCAGTTACAGTTTAAATCCACAAAGTTAAGGTCAAGTTTCCATTTAAGCAGTCTTTGTTCTTAAAGCTCTCCATGACCTCGAGAATTCAAACCTAATTGATCAACTGATTATTGTATAAATTAAAATTTCACTGATACTTCTCAATTCGATAATAAGAATTCAAATCTAACATTGGACTAATCCAATCTGAAATCCCATAGTCAACTAGATCAATCCATTATAAGACAATCTGAATTTGAACGCTAACATATACTATCTATTCAATTAGTGTGTGATTGACTGTTTTCTTTAGAGTGGGTGTGGGATGTGAGCGATTTCTTCTTCCAGTCACACTCACACACCCGCACTCCGACATCCACACCCTCGAAAACCGATAGTTGGCCGATGTGGCCCTACTTATTTTGAGATCTAAGGAACGCCCCATCATTTTCACAGATTTTTCTAGCTAGTTTAGTCACAATCGATCTTTTCCTATACTGGAAGTCTTTATTCTGCATTCTGTCTCTTGAACGGAATCACGTTATTTATCAATTATTGTTTTCATTTTATTTAGTTTCGGAGGTACGCTGTTTTATCGTTTAAAAATTTTCTTTTCTAGAACGAAGAAAGGTGTTTCGAAAAAGATGACGACAGCAATGGCAGCCAAATAGCTAAAGAACAATGTAGACACATAACTGTTGACAAGAGTCATTGGTTGATAATACATAGGGTTTGACTGATTGAATAGAGTGACGAAGATGACTGTCGAATGAATCAGATAAGCAGCATAATTCAAACGTGCTAATGGTGTCCAAATAGAAAAGGATAATATTCGATTGACAATACCACCTTGATTGATACTACACAAAAAAATGAGCCATGCAATCGAGATTGACCAAGCAGGTCGAGATAGAGTTTGATAGGTAATGAGTGTAGCTCGACTGAGACCAGGTACTAATACATAATCACCATAGATCGAAAAGATACAAGCTAAGGCAAGTGCAGTAGCGAGAAGATTTCCGATAAGTCGAACGAAACTATTCAAACGATAGGTACGACCCATATTGATAACAAGAAATCCAGTGAAAAGTCCAATTGCATAGGGTGAAATGCGACACCATGGAGTCACGTAGATTTTATCGAAGAAATTCGGACCTGTCTAAAAATGAGCAGCAAAATAAATCAAGTCTCAGGGAAACCATTAGAAAATATTCTCGATTCACTTACCGCATTGCTTGAAATATCCAAACCATGTGTGACCATACTTGGATAATAAAGAAGAAGACCAAGAATCGATCCAATACTAACTAATACGAAGAGTATTGTCATTATATATCCAATAGCTTTTATAGCTTTGTGTCTCATCACAAATGGAATTAATGCTAGCGGAGCAATCCAATGGAATTGCATATCATTGAAAAGATACCATGTCACACTGAGACACATATTATCGGATTTGAAAAAGTTTCCAATGTACAAAAATGAAGTCCACCAATGACCATTACGACAACCGGTCGATTCGAATCCTTGTTGCACTGGATAAAGAGGTCCATGACCAAAATAGGGTGTCAAATAAATACTGACAAACATGACCAAAATAAAAGTCGGTGTCAAACGAAGATATCGATGTATATAATAGAGAACCATCAATCGTAGTGAGAGTTGTTCTTTTCGTACTTGTCGAACGAAAAGAATTGCAGTTAAAAAGCCACTCAGAAGAAAAAATGTATCTACACTGAAAACACCACTAGTGATTAGTTGAAATGCGAAATTGCGCGTATTCGAAAGCATATCAATGATATTCGATGTGTAAAAAATGCCGAAAACAAACGTATGACCAAGGATAACCCAGAATAGAGAAAGAACACGAATACCATTGAGAAATGTAAACGAATTCTCGTTTTCTTTTTTGTTTATTTTAAAAATATGTTGTAGTGTACGAATGGCTGAAAATTCTCTCATAAATACGATGATAGGCATTTTTTGAGTCAAAGATTGTAATGATTGATCAGCTAAACTGTATGATACACTCTTGTTTGAAGAGTCATCCGATAAATCTTGGTAGCCATTGATAGGTAACTTTTCATTCTTGTTCCACGTGATATACATATGAACAACAAGATCGATGATTGTTCCAATCAGTACAAGTAGAGCCAAGAGTGATAAAACGATACTAAAAGCAATAGTACCTGACGAAAGACCATTCTGTTCATTGGAACGATCATTTGAACATTGTAAATAATCTTTAGTCAAATTATGAACTTTGAATATCTCCTGGATGAGTGTGACAATTGATTGACGATTGCAAGATGCTGGTAGACAAAGGCCGAGAACCAAGCTAAAGCTCGTTACTAATTGTTCGTTAATGGGACTGGATTGAAGAGCACCTAAAAAAAACAAATTTACTTCTCTAAATAATGGATAAAGAAAATCGACATACAATATTGTGTATCTATGGGTTGTCGAACGAACGATTTATTGTTTATTTGATAGAGTGGATTAATACATTCATCATAATTACCTATCCAGAACATATTTCCTTTCAATAAACCAGATGGTAATGGTTTGCCCCAAGCATCGAACACTTTCATTGCCCATAATTGACGTTGAACTGCAGCAGTTATCAATATTTCCAAATCTCGTTCACAAGCAGTACTCTGATTGTTTGAAAATGATATGTTGGCTAAGAGTAGCTCCGATCGAATCGTTGCAATGGGCGTATTCACTAAATCGTTTACAATATCTGGATAATGTTGATAAAAACCACGCAATCGTTGGATGATTGCGTCGAAACGTAATGGAATCGTTTCGAATGTTGGTTCACCAATAATCGATTGTGGTACGAAAAGAAGTAAAACGAATATCAGAGTAGCAAACATCGTAATTATATCAGTGACATTGAAACACGAGTTACGAGCAAAGAATGATGAAAAACGACAAACTAAGGACAAACTTATATAAACTTACAGAGTGTTACTCATCTGATAACATTATTATTGACCGAATGACGTTTATTTAGAAATTAAGTTATCATTTGTTGTCGTTTATCTCTCATTGCTTTGCCCTAGATGGTGCGCACACCATAGCTCTTATCATTCGTAATAAAAAAACGAATGTTTTGTTTGAATTCGGTTGACTTCGAGTATCAGTTACTGAGTAAAAATGAATCTGAAATAGAAGATGCAGTGGTAACCGATCGACTGAAAGTTAGATTGTGTGGAGTTTCGAAGCAGAAGATGGAGATATAAGTTCTTTTCAATATCTTTCTATCACTTCTGGAATATCGAAGTCATCATTAGGTATTGGTTGAAAAGAGGCTGACTTGAGAAACGAACAAACAACTGAATTTTCATTTGAGAAATGGTTCTACAAGAAAAGGAGAATATTATCAGCACTCAACGGGTGCCTTCGAACGTTGACCAGTTTACGCCATATTCATATCAAATACAGAATAGAACAGAAGTGACGAACATCAAAATAGATACCTAAAACATAGTTCCTGCAATTAATGATCACTGTATCTAATGGATTGTTTTGATTGAAATCGTCTATTTGTACTTCGAAAATGTTTGATTAATTTTCAAGTTACTACAAATGTCAAAAATTTCATTACGCACATTTATTAAAAATTAAAATTCGCTAGTCACATGAATAGTTATCGATATGTCGTATATTTTTCGATAATGAGTTAAGCAGAAACGTCTACATACCTTTTTTTCAAACAATCTTAACCACTCACTCCATGTTCGATCAGCTAACTATTTTAGTTTGTCGATCCGTCCGTGATTTTCCTCTCGATAACGTACTCACCTCGAAACTGTGTTGTATCGAACATTTTCGAACACAAATTCAATCAGTTTTCGATGTAAATAGATATGTTATTTTTAAACACACTGACAACTACACCTTCTTCAACGAATCTAGTCTTTTTCATTGCTTTTGAATGAAGCGTAATCGCACTATGAAATCAACTAAAGAGCGTATAGATTTTCTTTTTTCACGCTCTTTTACAGAGCAATTAAATTTTTTTATTAATATAATGTATTATACAGTTACAGTTCATCATCTGAACTGATACATGTTACGAATCAGCGTGAGGCGATTGAAGATGAATAATCCATTTACCATTGTTTTGGTTGAACTCACATGATCGAATAGAGTACATAAAATAAGGAGCGAGTAGATGCTCTTCTTCGTCGAATAAAGAGTAGGGTGAGACATCACAGCTATCGCAGCCACCATTGATGTCGATGACAAAAAGGACATTACCATATATTTCTGCCTTCTGTCGGTTTCTGCTGAAAACATATTCAAAAATAATGTCTCGATATACTAATGAAGATTTCATTGTATTAGTGTCAATCAAACAACGTCCAAATGTTTTTTTAATGAATAAGTAATAACATATGTGAATGCAGGAAACACAATTTGGTTGCCTGATGAAGTACCAACCGATTTTCGTCGATACTTTTCAATGAAATTATCATATTTTGCCACCGGTATACTCTCCTAAGTAGTACAGAAGAAGAGGAAAAGGACCAAAAGTAGCCACTTTGCTCTTCCATAACTGCTCATACTCTTCATCTCCTTCAAGCCGCATGCACTCATTCAATTTCTTATAGAGAAATGATTTCATAGTGTAAAGACGTGCACATATACGCCAAACTTCTACTGATGTTCCGTCTATGACGTTGAGAAGCTGTTGGATCATCCATTCTGCCTCACGCTGTTTTCCTACCTTCTTTCCTTCTATAATAATACCTTCCGCTGCTTTTTTCATCATCGATCGACGATTTGCTGCGTTATGTAATGAGCTATTTATGTGCGTATAGCCAAAACCAGCCAGATTGAAAAGCAGATGAGTTGTCCTACGAAAGCCCCCTAGAGAAAAAGGTCTAAAAGGAACTGAAGGTTTGATAATGTTGGACATGAATCGTTCCCATCTTAGTTTCTCCGTTCCTTGGTCAGTCAGCCGTTTCACGGGCCGTTGTTTGCCCGTATCGAAGCGAGATACTTGAATAAATCTGGTAAAATAGCTGATGTAATCGTCAAGTACAGCTTCGAGTAATTTTTTTTGAAATGCTTCTTCAATGATGGCTGTTTCCACATCTGAGTAGGAACACCATTCAGCAGATTCAGGCGACCAAGGACCGGCATTTAATTTCCAAACCCACTGGATTCAAGATTGCGGTAAGAAAGTCAACATTTCTGAACACAATGAGAAGTTTTCAGCTCTCGACGATATTCACAAGTAGAAAGAAGTCTAAGTCTAAATTTAAATATTCAAAATAAGTTATGGCAATGGCACAAAACTGAGAAATTATATAGCTACATCGAAAATTTATTATGGCTGGCTGTGATCAGACTTTTGTTATGGTCACACTGATTTACAATCTTGATATTAAAAGACCCAATTCGGAACCCTTCAAGAAAAACACATAAACTTTGGCTCAACTCAATCAAATATAGCAAAAAGATAGTGAAGATTTACTTTGAATTATTTATTAAACGAATTTCTGATACATAAATATTCACACTGGATTTTGAATTTCCTTCACTTATTTTACATTAAATTTAATTATCTTTGACCTACACATGATAAAATTTTCATTTCGAAAAACTAAAACATATTTTATTATTAATTTTGCGTATTCTTTGATCATTTAATATTTTGGAAATAATATTAACTTTGTATCAAAAAAAAAACTATATATGTACAAGAAAAAAGGCAAAATCATATACCAAAGTACTTGTTTAAATATCGTACATAAAATAGAACATGAAAATTCAAAAAAAAAATGTTTCTTTAAGAAAGTCCGTCGGGTGCACCACCTTTTCGTATATCACAGTTAGTCCAATATTGATTAACTTCATCACGCCATTCAATACCTTGTATAACAGAACCACCATAAGCACTACATGTTATATTATGACCACGTTGTTTAAGTTTTTGTAAAATATTCTAAAACAAAAAAAAAAGATATAAATCCTATTGTAATAGTTATAGAATTTTAATTGATAAATCAAGAGAAACACAATTTGTGTAATCGATTGATCAAGACAAGCAAGAAACTTTTTCGAAATTCAAATTTCTTACATAATCAAAACCTTGTTCAGCCATAACTTCTTCTGGTAATAATTGTGAATGAAGTCTTGGCGCATCAATTGCTTCTTTTATATTTTCATTAAACCATAAATTAAGCATTGCAACTTGAGCAACACTTGTTGTTATTTTAGTACCACCACTAGCACCTATAACTTGTTGTATACGTTGATTAGCATTTTCTAATAGAATTAATGGTGACATTGATGAAATAGGTCGTTTTCCAGGTGCTATAAAATTAGCTGGACTAGCTGGAACACCAAAATAATTTATTGTATGCGGAGTTGAAAAATCATCCATTTCATCATTATAAATAATGCCTGTTTCAGAACCAAGAACTTTTGAACCATAACTAAATAAAAATCATATTTTATTCGATATTAAAAAAACAAAAAAGAAATATTATTCATACTAAAGATTAACAGTTGATGTCATTGCAACAGCATCACCATCAGATCCAACAACAGATATATGAGATGTACCTGTTTTGAGTTTATCAAGCCATGTTCCACCATAATATTCAAAACCGAATGTTTTATGATCACTAAATACAAAGAAAATAATATAGTGGTTGAAACTACTTTTTCGATCGGAAGACGATAGAGATCTATGTTTTCCATCACTCAAAAAAAAGACATCGAAGAACATTTTACTATGATCATATGATTTATATAAAAACTGAGATCCTTGATATTGGTCGAATAATCTCAATAGTACTTTCAAAATGGTTTTGAAACCATCATCATTAGACTCAGTATCTTAATGAGTATTCTCGGAAAACTTCATTAAGTACTAGCACAGAATTATTGAGTTCGCGAAAAAATCCTGAAAAAACATTTAATCGATTTTAACATGATTCTATAACCTATGCCATGTTCCTTTTTAAATGATGGTAACTGAAGATTCGAAAGATAGGCACAACATTTATATTATTTAATCCTAATAACACTAATTTGATATACATACTTGATGCGTGCTCGTATACTGTCAGCATAGTCTTTTGATGTTAAATTGTGAATAAGCTAAAAGATCATATATATATATATATGTATAAATATATTTGAGAAAACAATTTAATTTTTTTTTACATACACCGGTGATATTTATTTTTGATGGATCACCAAGTTCACTTCGTTCAGCATAAGCAAATTTAAATGCTTCAATAAGACGATGATAAAATAATGCTGCAGTTGATGTTTTTTTTAAATCTCTTTCAATTATATTATATCCTTATGAATAGAAGACAATATATTTTCTTTTTATAAAACAATTAATAAAAGAAAATTTCATACCTCGAAGAATATTTAAAATAAAAATAAGTATTGGTCCACTTGATGGTGCTTGTGTTGTAAATGCAGTTAATGAATCATTAAGATTAACATGTAATGCTTCATTAAAATCGACTTGATAATTAGCAAGATCTTGTTTTGTAATAATACCACCATGATCTTGAATTTCTTTAACAATTTTATCAGCTAATATACCCGTATAAAATGCATCAACACCTTGTTCAGCAATGATTTCAAGTGTTGCTGCATATTTAGGACGTTTCATTATATCACCTGTTGTATATAATTCATTTGTTTTAGAATTTTTTACAAATTGTTCTCTATAATTAACAAAAAATAAATTCATTTTAAAATAGAAGAATTTAATAATAACCTCAATGTAGGATCGTTAAGAATATCAGATTTTATTTGTTTAATAGCTGCAGCTTGTGATGAACTAATAACAAAACCATTTCGACATAATTGAATAGTCGGTTGAAAAAGATCA